TTGGGCGGAAACCGCTCAAGCCTCTTATATGGCTAACAGGCCAATCGTTAGCCGCCACGTGTGAATAATTTAGCACTAGCCAATCACGGGGAACGAATTTGCATACTGGTGGCAGGAACTCTTTTGCACCGTGCATTCCTCTTGCAACTCGAGCAATGCACTCTGCAAAAGAAGCTGCAGAAAAGGCGGGAAACTCGTTCCTGCACCGGGGTTTCCTCTTGCTACAGGAAACTCTCCCGTGCAATGCTCTGCAACTTGGCGGGGATAATTCTGGTGCCGAAGCACACACACAATCATGCCTTTTGGGTCATGACACTTGAGAGGTTGGAGAAAATCCTTATGTACAGATGAAGACTTTGTTCCTGTAGATGAACCTCATGGACTATCATGCATGGTTTGCACAAAGACTAGCTAATAAGTCTTCAACTCACTCTCCACGAGATTTCCTTTTATTACTTGCAAATAAAGTTCCAAAATTATCAAATAAACTCTCAGTACAGGGTGCATTTATATCTGCTTCTTCGTGGGCAAAATGGGCATAAAAATATCTACCTGTCAGAGATAATTGTGAAGCTTCATTTATAAATGGCTCTTGGATTAGGGGTGTTATTAAAATACAAAGTCATATTATGTATTTATTTATTTCTTTTGCTCTCCATGTAAGAAGGATTGAATTAGGTTTACCATTAGGGCAGGCACTTTCTGAGCTGAACAAAAACATACTACTTAAATCTCCATTGTAAAAAGCCTGTCCTAAGTGCAGTAAAAGCTGTGTTAACCACCACTTTATTAGCTGGAAAACTCCATTAGCTGGCATCTGAGCAATGTGGCAAAAGCAAAACCGGAAGTACCACTGAGTTTTTCTTCGCTACTTTTTCGGCCCACGACCCAGAGCAAAGCAGCCTGTGCGGGGGCCCCACTCCCTGTCCCCCGGTACGCTGACTCTGCGGAGTGCACCAGGCGGTACACATTTGATTAAGCGGAATATTTGATTAACCAGCATCCCCCATTCCTGGGGAAAGCCGGATAACAGAGCTTTTAATGTACTAGAAATGTCATTTTCTGAAGTGCATTGTTCCAGTCTGTGTTTCTTGTTTAAGTTCTTTAGTGATGTCAGTTCCTGGAGTCGTAATGGCAGAGTCACTGACAGGAGTGAGATAAACAAGGAATCCTTTAAGCCTTCTGTATCCTTTTGATTTTTTTGTATTATGATCATTGTCTTTGTATACTCTCTGGACACAAGATATATCAAGCACCATGCGATCTTCCTGTCAGAGAGATTTTGAAGCAAAGAGAAGACAACTGATGAGATGTATTACCTTGTTCGATGTTTCCAGGGATTTTTTAGCTGTAATCATCTTTAGAAAAATCTTTTGTATAGAATTAAGTATATATGAGAGAATTTTGGAGAAGCTAATCAGAATGCACTCGTTGTTTTCTGTAATGTTTTTCTCCCTGTGACACAAGAAGCAGTCTTTTAGCCATTGCTAATTTCCATGAGTCATTTGTCAGGAGAAGATTCTCTATCTTGTCATTACCTGAGGTGCGTGAAATGAGCTGATCATCTCAAGGCCAGGGAAGATTGCAAGCAAAATTAGGCACTGTATCCATGGTAATACAGTGAGAAGTTTTTTAAATAGCTGCTTAATCCATTGATATAAAATCGACCTGCCATTAGAATTAGAGCAGCCAATTTTATCATCAGACAGATCATAATTTAAAATTGACGTGAAATATTATGCACACATGTAGGTGTTATAAGAGTCAAGCATTTTATTTGTGTGTAACTTCTCATGATGAGCAGTTGTTAGTTCCAGTGTTGTATAAGCTGTTTCTCTGCTGTGTGATTATTCAAGGATAAACAGCTAAACCATTCATTACCTGTTCTTTTTCTTTTTTCCCCTTTTAATTTTTGCATAATGAAGCAACTGTAGAAACTGTAGAAGCACTGTGAAATGTTGTTGTTAAAGAAGTGAGAGGTTATTTTAACTAGCAAATAGAAATCGCCTCCTGGCTGAATGGTGATAGGATATTATTTCAACCATGGGTATATTTTATAGGCAGTAGTTTGCTATTTGGTTTACTATTTAGAAGACTGGGCAAAAGCTGATGTTGCATAAATATTTATGTACTTATTCAATTATTTTAGTTTGTTTATTTCAACTTCAGATGTCTGCAGTGAGATTGTCCATCCAAAGTTCTGAGACAATCTTTCAAAAACACTAATAAAATTCTTTGTTTCTTCAAGATCAAATTGAAGAAACAGCATTATTATAGTAAAACTCAATATAAATCCCTCCAAAGAATTGCCAGCAGAGTTGCATGCATGCTGCTACTCAATTCAGCCTGTTTCCTTAACCGGAATGGGAAAAATGACAGATCATGAACTATACCTTGAAGGCTAACAAATTTGAAGTAGTACAACAATCGTTTGGAACTGGTAGATGTGGCATAGTTAATTCCTAGCGCTTTTTTTATTATAAGCCTCTTCTTAGTTGCCTGTAAGTTTTCCAAACATATAATCTTGGGATGAAATGTTCCATTTTTGCTCTGCGCTTCAGGTTGAATTCCTTCAGAAAGATTCAGCAAAATGGCTCAGCTGTTTCTGAGAGCACAATTAGGTGGGGAAACTGCAATTTGAATATAAAAAAAAAAATTGGATTTTTGAGGATACATATTGGATCCAAATATTTGAAGTGGCCTATAGATTTGTTCTGTAATTTGAAGGTGCTGTCTGTGGTCCTTGTAGAAATTAATTTAGATTTAGCTAATTTAGCACATGTGGAATTAGTCAGTTTCATATGCTGTAAATTCTTTAAAGTCTTGCTGAATGCTTAATCCACATGGAACATGCGCCCTGGGTCTGCAGAGCTTTAGTTCTAGACAAGACATAGCAACTGCAGCTGCCCTCTTTGGCTTATGGAACGGGCTAGAAGAAGGCAATGAAATCTAATGCCAACACCTGTACTCCCTAGTGTGAATATTTATATACACTTTAAAGAAATTACTATTGAGTAAGGTCTCACCTTAGGAGGTGAGGAGGTATCACTTCATCCTGCTTTGTAGCAACCTCCAGCTACAAAGTAACTGAAAGTTTTCACAAGGAACTAAACTCAAGTTTCTAATGTGACAGATCTGTGGCTGTATTGTTCATCTGTGGTTGTACTGCCTTTGAGAGTAAATAGATAAAGCTTCAGACTTTTTGTAACTGCTAGATGCCACTCAGTTCCAGAACCAGGAATAGAATCCAGGATTCCAGTTTAGTAAATAGCTGTGTATGTTGTTAACTGGTGTGCACCACATCCATCTTTATTAGCTGGTGCATAAAGTGGATGATGACTTAATTTCATTATCTTTACTTCTTTAGCTCAAGTGGTGCTAAAGAACCCAACACTTATTTAGCTCAAGTGGTGGGTGGAGGACTGGGAGATTTCAGGTTCCTGTTTGTATTGCTTGTGAGCAATATAGTATCAGAAGGTTTGGGTTTTTTTAGGTTTCTTTTTAAAAATGTAGGAAGTTTCATACAAAACTATGTTAAAAGACTACTAGGGTTGAAAAGTTTTTCACTCAAAGCTACAGAAGAGTGGAATAAAATACTCCATGCAAACTTAGTGCAGTTCTTCTGCATATTTATTATAATTATGTTATCGTTTGTTGTTGGCATTCCACCTGACCTGCAGCATATAGGCTTCATTTATGGTGTAGAATGGACAGTCCTCGTCCACTTCCTAATTTTCCCCCTATATTCTTCCCATCTTTAACGTATACCTGTGTGCATATCATGCTGCACTCGGTGGCCTATAAATAGAGCAGAAAGGCATGATGAAAGAAGAAAGTAGAATAAAGACCATTTGTGTTAGAGGCAGCGGCAGAATTAGATATTTCGTGGATATCGTTTAAACAGTTGCTCTTTTCAAAAGGTTTGTATGCAAAACAATAAAGAAGGTAAGTCTTCCTGGCTACCATAGCAGAGTTTAGGTCTGTTTCTTGGATGACAGTTCTATTTTTGATAATTGTGTATAACTTGTATGTTTGGCATTACAGAATTTGAACTAGCTCTTCAACTGGTGTACAGTGACATGACTCTATTGAAATTGGTTCAGCCATGCTTGTTTATATCAGTTGAGGACCTGGACAGACATTTTATCAAAACAAAACAAAAGAAAAGGTGCATGTCAGATAATTACTTCTAAAGCCATATCCTCATAGTATGATGCATTTTCAGTGAAGCTTTTCTTTTTTCTTCTTTAGGATAAGAAGGATAAGGTGTCTAGGTTTGATACTATTCGTCACTCCATAGCTGGGATTATAAGATCTCCAAAATCCATGTTGGGCTCTTCTTCGGTAAGTAACACTGAGAACACAGTTTTCTGCTATGTTGTTCTATCTTTTAAATTAGAATTCTTTCCCATATGGCCATAAACTTCTACCTAGCTGGAAAATGCATTGAAATGGTAAGAGGAAATTCTATGTTCTGACTAGTCGTAGACATGATAATATTGTGTCTCAGTATTGAGTCAGAGCTCCTGTTATACACTACACAATTATATAAATGTATCCAGGGACAGTGCATAAGCATGAAAAATTCATTTTCTGCAGGCATTCAATTATTATATGATTGACATCTCTATGGATTACTTGCTTTTCTTGGTGGATCTGCTGGTCTGATTCATTTTTCATAGAGCATCTCAACTCATTATATTCCCAAGATACAATTAAAGTTATTTGATACATCAAGACTCTCTTGCCTTTAATACATTGGCTATCAGGACATTTTTAGTCTCAGGTTTCCAAGCGTGGTCTGTAGCTTCTGAAGCATTTGTAAGTGGCCTGCAAAGAGATCTTTTTATCTTTTTTTACCTCAGCATAACCAGAAGACTGGTGAGGTTATAGTCATTGACAGTTCAGTAACAATTGACAGAAAACCTTAGAGGCAACCCTGTGAACAATTAAGCATAACTGTTATTGTTTGTAATCAATTTAGTAAGCAGCTTCCCTTTTTCTTTCCCCCTTTCCCTGAAGGGATATTAATATGCTGAATGTTTTGAGAGATGCTGAATTATGAGCTAGCCCGTCAGCAAGAAGTGATATGCATAAGTCCTACTCAAGCTTGAATTAAGCAGCAATACTGAAATTTCTGTATTTTAACTTTGTATATATAAGACGTATTTAGAAGTGCACTGATACATCGGTCCATATCATGTCGGCATTGATGAAAGGAAAATTGACATAATTGGCAGTTGCCTTTTTTTGGCTGATGTGGCCGATAATGTCACCGATAAATGATGTGTGCATGCGCACAGCCGCAGCATGCACACAGCCAGGAGTGCAGCCCAGGAGCATGGGAAACAGCATCCTGCTGGTAAGTCAGGGGTGTTCAGATCAAGGCCCCCATGGTGAAGGAGAGAGTAGGGATGGGGCAAGGGCAGGCACTGCCGAACTGGGGAGAGAGAGGGTGCAGGACTGAGCCAGCAGCTCGCCTGGGGGGCATGTGCACTGCCTGCATCCCCAGGGGAGGCATGTGGGGCATGTGCCTCCTGATCTGTGCACGAGGCAAGGGCAGGTTGCCTGTTGCATACTCAGGGCTAGCACCAATGTCTTTCTGGTGGCTGTGCTTGGGCAGGGTGGGTGGCGGTGGCACTGGGAGGATGGCTATGAGAAGGCTACAGAGAATTTTGGGGTGGCTGTTGCCCCCCCTGTAGCCCCTCTCTCAGTGCCACCTCCCGCCCTGTCCCACCCAGCCTGAGTGCAGCCACCGGGAATAGGAACTGCCAGCCTGCAAGGGGAAGCCCACCATTTCCTGTGTTTTTCTCCTTTAAAGGAGAAAATTTGTGTTTTTTCCATGACAAACAGAAAACCCAAGTCCATGGCGATTACAGAATATTACTTCAAATAAAAATTTTGCCCAAAGTACCAGGTGGATTTTGCAGCCATAGAGTATTTTATGGCATATATCAAGATTTGTTTTACAATACAAGGTTATAATAATATTTGTTTTATAAAACCAGTGCAATATACCATTAAAAATAACTTTAAAAAATCTATTCAAGTAACAAATTATAGTCTGGAACTGAAAAATAGAATGTAGAAGTGAAGTAGAAAAAAGAATAGTGCTGATTACAAGAGATTATTACTTCAATAAAAAAATCATTTTAATTGTTCACTTTTGAAGTATATTTTTTCAATATATTCACAGTTGTGATGTATAAATATATCTTGGTTTAAGTGCTGTCTTATTGTAAGAATAAATATCCAAGTTAGTGCAAGAGAAATATAGTTATTTCTATGGATAACTGAAGGAAACATTTTATTTTCTTTTAGTGCCTTCCGGAGAATGTATCAGAGGAACCTTGTACTTCCTCAAACACCCAGGAGTTTAGTAAAGCTCAGGTTAACTATTATGCATTTGTTAATTTTTAGATATCTTATTATTCTTACTGTCTTCATCCATATTATTTGCTTGGCCATAAGAGACAAAGAAAGTAGACAGTAGAAGATTTAAAAAAACCCCTTTCCTATGTTACCCAGACCAGAGCCAACATACATGAAGCTTTAGGACATTCTGGGTTGCTTTTGTGCCAGGACATGACTTTTTTTTATAATTATACCACTGATAATTTAGTGAATGAAAGAAACTCTTTTCCATTGACTGTTGCTGGCCTTGGAAAAAAAATCAGGAAAGTTATTAATATCCAGTATGATCTAGTTGTGCAATCCCCATCTGATTAGGTGCATTTTTTTCTCCACTAATACACTGACATAATGGGAATTGCTATTCATTCTGTTATCAACAGTTAAATTATATTACTGAAGTGAGACTAGATCAGTATACATTGTCAGTATGGGTATACAGCAAAAGAACCAGAAAGCTGCCAAGTAGACAGCTGACAATTCTCATGGCATAGAGAAATTCTTGGCTAGTTTAGAGGTGGTATTAACATCTTATGCTACCCTTTCCTAACACAGTTGTTTTGGCCTTGCAATACAGTGTTGAGGGGGTCATTTTAGTCTCTTGTAGATAATTTCATATTACTGCAGATTTAGCCAATGGAATAGGTTCTTGGAGACGATCATAAGTTTGCACTTCAGAACAGCTTGAATGCTTCTCTAAATTATGTAAGGACAGTTGAAAGTCAGGCCCAGTTTAAAGGAGCCATAAATCACCTTTTGGATACTACTTCAACATTCAATCCTAGGTCTGCTTAGACTAGAGGTTCCTACATTTTCATGGTGTGGACTGCTGTCTGTCCTATATATAACTCCCTTCCTCTTCACAATAATATAGGCCATCTGTTCAGTTTGACCCCCCTGAAAATCATGAATAATAAGTTTCTTCAGTATTGAGCAGGTAGTGGTTTCAGTTATAAGCAGGGATCATGATTTTCTCTGTCGAAAAATTCCAAGTTCTCTGCTTTAAAAAAATCAAAATGAGCTGATTACATAACCCCAAATCCATGTTTCTCCATGATTAAAATAAAAGTGGGTGTGGGTGTATTAGGGCTGTGCAAAGCTTTGGGTGCTGATTTGATTTAGAGGAGATTTGTCCCAATTCGGTGGCCGAATCCCCAAATCTGAATTGAATCAGGGGGCCAATAAAAGGGTCTGAATTGATTTGAAGTACTCTGAATCGATTTGGAAAAGATTTGGAGAGCTTCAATGATTCAGATAGTCTGTGCCCACTGCAGCAGGGAGCTGGAGCCGGACTCGGAGCTGGTAAGTAGTGGGTGGGGGAGAGGAGACTGGAAGAGGTGGGGAGAGGACCATGGGGGGACCCCTGCCAGGCCACATCCCCTGCCTGCTCCCTCAGCTGCCCACCCCAGCTCCTGGTGCTTTAAAAGAAAGCCCCCACTCACTGGGTGCTACCTGGCAGGGCGGTGATCCCTGCTGCCCCCCACTGCCCCGCGCTACATGGGGGGTTCTTTGACAAACCCCGCTGGCCTGCCCCCCTGGCTGCCCCACCCACCCCAGCTTCAGCCCTTTAAGAAAAAAGCCAACCCTAACTGCCTCCCCCCCACCCTGGGTTCACTGGCTCCCACAGTTGCCTCGTGGCTTTGGAGGGCTCATGGAAGAGCCCCCATGGGGCAGTGGGAGGCACCAGGGATCTCCCCAC